CTTCGAACATTCTTTCTTGTTTTCAATTGCTGCTTAGGGTTTTCTCCGTAGTTGCCACAATAGTCGTTTTATTATAGAGTACAATATATCTACAATCGCAAGATAGTCGCACTAGGAAGCCCCTTCATAGATTTAAAAGGAAGTCAGCCTATCGCAAACAATTCTGATAGCATTTCTCCAACCATGAAAGGAGAAATTTCTGATGGATTGGGCGGGAGACTGGATTGGTTAGGCGGCCCTCCCAGTGAACGAGATCAGCACCACTGCACTACTCCCTAATCGATAAACCTTCACGATAGCACTGAAAAAGTAGCCTCTGCTGAATTTGACGTATCCGTGTTCTTCGAATAGCTACATGTAGCACAGAGCTAAGAGGTGCACTGCAATGCAGCTACAGCCATTGCTTTGATCTCGCGTCCTGTATTCATCAAGTCTCACATCATTTCGCGGTCAGCAAATTGGTGGTAGATTTCTTTGGAGGAATAGTAGCATTTATTAGATATTTCGAGTAGGCCAACCGAATCAATGTAAAGCCATATCATAAAACTCACATCCAGCAACGCTAAATGAGATAGACTGCATGACGCATCCCTCAGGGATTGATCAGTGCGAGAGCTTTATCCTTATATATATATATATATATATATATATATACAGATATACATAGTAAACAATACAATGATAAACTCCATTGTTAAGAACGACATCTATGTTCAAAGATGCAGTTGTGTATTATAGTTCCTCTTTCGAAAAAGTTTGCGCATATCGTTGTGAGAAATGTTGAAAACTGTTTCCTGCTAATAGGTATGAAAGATTATCTATAGTGTATTAACACTGCTAATCGTAGATATTTTGAGGGTAATAATTAAGTTGGACAAGAATACGGATATTTGAATAATTCGAATAAGCTTATCAGATTAGTGCTCAATTTGTATCGGAGCGTTCACCCACTGCAGCAGTTTCCAGTCACCCAAGACGCAGTGTGGAAATCAGCGTCCCATTTATGGTACACTTCGAACCAAAAGAATTAAACAAATCTCTAATGATTTCAGATCGTTGAATGAGCAATTATACTAATAAGAATTTCTCATTACATAGTATTAGATGCCATTCTGGAGTTGTCTTATTAGAAGCCAAATTCATTACTTTAAACGCAGTTTCCACTTCCCAAATATGAGCAGCAGCCTTTAAATGTCTTTCCTAGAAACTGATAGCAGGTATGGTCCTATACAAGCAATACTATCTTTGAAAACTATGCCTGTTGACAGTGGAGAGCTTCATAACGAACTGAGCTTGATGCAAATGATTACACTTCGATTGCCGGCTGAATATTAATAAAGTTGCGATGCACTTCTAAAAGAGCAACCACCCAAAGGTAATGGGAGAAATCTAAATTTTCGGAACAACAACAAAGACTCATTGGACAGCTTCATTATTACAGAGCTCCAGTAAAATCTGATTTATCTGAGATTCCTTTGCAGAGATGTTCACCGTCCTTCTTTTTCATACTTAGAATGGACCATTTAGTGGAAGCACATTTCAAAGGTGATAAACGGTCAAACGAATCGTCGCTATGTTGACACCAACGATTTGAGAGAGAACTTGTGAAGAAATAAAATAAAACTACTGGGCTTTAAATTTGACATTAATAGCTCAGGTTCCAAGAAAAGCCTCTATTTCCATCCCAATTTGGGGTGTAAGCATGTTACTTCAGGAAATCAACTGAAACTGGTGAAATTAAATTATCAGCGGCAAATAGTTCTCAATCTAGAAGTCCATGATCTTCCCCAATTTGAAGCTCTTTTCATCATTTCGTTTTAAACCAAGCTGAGTACTGCTTAAGCGATTATTTCTTTTTCAGCAGAAATCACTTTAAAACCATAGATCTACTTCTGTAAACCTTACCTCACGTTTTTTCTTTCTTCAAAATGTTTTGGCTAACAGAGAGCCTGAACACTCTTTCATGAGCACTTAGCACCATCAAAACTTAGTAATTTCTTCACATCATTTCTTGATTTGGGTGATATGGCTGACAGATGAACTTGTAATGCAGCAAAAGACATCGATCTTTTAAGCTTCCAAAATGCGTTCTCTCCTTTGCCTAGGTTAATTGCATTTTGTGCAAATGAAATGCTTAAAAAGCTCGTTACGAAGAAAAGGTAAAGGTTTTCTTTTATTTACAAAGTTTGCGAGGCAAGAATGTCTTTCCACTTATGACGAAGTAAAGAGCCATGGTTGATCGTCCATTTTTATTGAAGGACTCCACGAGAGAGAGCTGTTGGTCGGGCTGGAGAAATTTCCATACGAGTCTAGTGAACAATATTTGGATTTTTCTGAGATGAAGTGCGCTTGTCGGAAATACAGAGAGCAAGGGAGGGTTTGATAATTGAGAATGCTGGCTGATTTTAGCAAAACACAGCTTACACGAAACAAAAAGTGCCGACGTTATAATTTTTGTAAAGAATCGCTTTATGCTAAAATAACACAATGAAGTAAGATAACAGCAACAACAGAAATGACAGAAATGTTAATAATAATAGTAACGACAATATCAATAATGATTGTAATAGTGAAAATATTGTCTACAAAATCGTTATAAAATGACCCAGGTTGGATAGTGCAATTGAAGGACATTTTCAGCTCCTGCAGAGATTAAATAAAAATCAAAAGCCTAGTTAAAGCTTGTACTTAAGGAATCTTTCAGATACGGTGAATCAAGACTCATTCTGTTCTCATCAGTTGGACATGAAATCAAAAGCCAGCAAAGAAAAATGTATTCTTTCCTCTCATGTTTTCAAACTATAGAATCAACATGGAATGATAATTTATAGTCTGAAGTATTGAGGAAGATATGTTTCCCATAGTCATCTGTTATTTTTATGTGCATAATGCAAGCACTTGTTGGAGATTTGTACCATAATAATTGGTTAGTATCGAGATTAGGAAGTAGAGGCACCAACGAAGAATGAAATGGATGAGAATGTCCACAAAGAACATCACTTCTTAGACCATTAAAGTGGGAGGAAAGGAGCAAAAATAGTAGTAAGCCATATTTTCACCTAACTTCGCCGTCAAAATCGTAATGTTTCTTTGAAAGACTGTTACTGTGACTGAACAGATGGTGATTGTGATGAGGGCAATGCCGCATGTGAGAGTGATCGTATGTTTGTCTTATTCTAAGGGTCAGTACAAGATTTTAAAATTATGCGAAACTATAACTGTACACCTCAGTGTTTACAGCAATCTCTTAACATTTTAGTTATGGATTAAAATTTCATACACTTTCGACTTTGAAAAAAACAAAAAATACCGTTGATGTCGGTTTGGCGCATGATTGCTTCGACCTGTGAGCTTGACGGTTTTTCACCAAGTTGTATGAGAACGAGCTAAAACTGTTGATTTATGGTGATTTTGCAATGTATTATCATGCAGATAAACGACTTTCTATTCTTTAGATATAAGTGTGCACCTCCAGTTCATCCCTTGTTATTTTTCCGTCACCGTTCTTGTCGAACTCCTTGAAGAGCTCGCGTAGCTCTGACTCTCTAATACACTCCATTTCGAGAGAAGACAAAAAAATTGAATTGATCGAGCAGGAAAAAGCCTGAAGATAATTCCGACAAATTCATTCATGAATCTTCGCTACTCATTACAATGGTGATCAGAGCGATGTTAAAGTCAAAAATGAAATTAAATACAATAGCAAAGATAGAATTGTAGTGGGGGGCGGGGGGAGAAGGGGCCGGGGTGACAAAGTAGCTACTGATGAAGATTATCATGAAGCGAAGTATTGGTTTGATACCCTCAACACTCCCCGGTAATCACGTGAAAACTCCTTAGTCCAGCTAGCCTCAAAATTGCAAGGAGGATCACCCGTTTAACATTCTGCCGTAATAATAAAGAGGACGAAATCCTCAAGAAGCAAACGAAACAACACTGAAAGTGTTTGAAAGCCTGCATAGATGGTGAAGATGAAGAGGAGAATCAAATTTTGAGAAGTACTGGAATTCACACCGTGGTTGCGATAACAAATCGTGTGAGATATGATGAGGAATAAACTGAAGCGATGATATGAAACGAGGAATCGTAAGTCAAAACAACATAACGATGACCTAATGTAATTTTTACGATAGAGTAGGACAAATCAGGAATGAAAGGTAGTCGCAAACATGGATTGATAATTTTTCTTAAGGGCTTTCTGTCGTGTTTCGATCTACAAGCCTTACGTTTTATTACCTCCCTACGTGCAGGACTTTGAACAACTCAAATAATATTATTGTTGATTATCAAAGTGCCCATGACATAGGCATAGTTTGCATTGTTCTCTCACCATTTGATGAAGTTATTAAGGAGTGTAGTTTGTTGAAGATTGATAAGTAGACTTGCAACTTTTCGATTCACAATTTTCTCAAATAACAAGTCAACGAAACAACGTTCCATCACGATGAAATATAAACGCTTCTTTTTGAAACATCCTCTTCACCGTCTCCATTATTGGTGTACTCATCTAGCGTGTGCGCTTCCGAATGTATATTTAACAATTTTAATTTAACCCATTATTGGTAAAACATCTCTGCGTAAAATATTGGGAACTGAATGGTGAGCAAAAACATGACCTCAGACGGGAGTCAAACCTGCTTTCATCCATACCGGGGACGCGTGCTACCACTACACCACCGAGCTACATTCGCAGCACCACTCATTCTTCGACATATCTATGCTAGTTGTCAGCCACCAACCTTTAACAGGCTTAGTCGAGTATGCGATTTCGCTTTATAAACCCAGTTGAGCCGACGGCCATTGTGATAAGTAGTACTCCTTCACAGTTAAACTGCGAAAAAGACACTAAAAATACTAGAAATTTGGAGTATTACTTATTACAATGGCTGTCAGCTCAACTGAATTTATGAAGCGAAATCGCACACCCGACTAAACATGTCAAAGGTTGGTGGCAAACAGCTAACTTAGAGATGTTGAAGAATGAGTGGTGCTGCGAATGTACCTCTATAGTGTAGTGGTACACGCGTCCTCGATATGGATGAAACGCGGGTTCAATTCCCGCCTGATGTCGTATTTTTTGCTCACCACTCAATTCTCTTAGGCATATATGGAACAACATGAAATTGCGAAAAAAAACACTAAAAACACTAGAAATCTAAAGTATCACTGGAAATTGTTGGTTCTTTCAGGAAAAGGTGTACGTGAGAAGTTTTTCTCATTATGGTCAAAAAAGATAGATGGTAATCCTTAACATTAGTGGTTCGCCAAGTAGAAAGTAGTTCTTCGAGTTCATTATAGAAACCGAGTAATTCCAGCTCGAAAAAGAACGCTTGCCACCGCATGAATTTCTCACGCGAGACCATTCCTGACACCTCAAAAGAAGATTTCAAACTTGGGTAATTTCAAATCGAGATTAAGAACTTATAATGACGCTTTTTGCTCAAATCTGAGTGAGCGATGTTAGATGGCGTTTAAAATTTTCATTTTGAGTCGGATGTTACATAACAATCAAGGAGCGCATCGCTTTTATAGAGTTGGAAAAGAATAGAGCAAACTTATAACCAGCTTTTCTCAATCAACGTTTCTGAAAATTAAATCATTTTTGAGCTCATCTTTATGCAGAAAGCTGATTTAATTTCAGTCTCTACCGTAATCCTTCTTTTTGTTCTAGCTATGAAATTGAGCTATACTTTTAGAAGTGTGGATTGAAAGATTGTAGCGAAATAAAATTCTATTCAAGACAAAATTATGAAAGTACAAAAGCAAATATATTTCCTAGGTGATCTTCATAAAAATAAAGTACCACTATCTAAAAAAGGTTTCCAAATGATGTTTGAAAGATCGCATAAGCTAGCTCGGAGATCGGACAAACTGGACGACATGCAGCGAATGAATAGATTCCATCTTCGCACAATTGCCTGCTCGAGTTGGATGCCTTAGGTACCGATATGGTGGACCATTAGCAAGTACAAATCAATATTAGTCCTTCTGAAGTAACATCAAGTTTGCAAATTGCATTATGAAAACCCTTTGAAATTCTGCTGCGTCTTTACTACGATTGGACAGAAAGCATGAGATAACTCCCATGCATATCATGGGAATCATATAGTTTCTTATGTGGAATATTCCCTCCTTTCAGAAGGCCCATAATAACCGTTTCTTCATTTTTCGTTAGAAGCCTTCACCAACGATACAATCGAAGTTCGGTTTTTTGGCGTCATTATTGGAAAAAGGGTTTTCACAATGAGCTGCAGTCGATGAAATCGTCGAAATTGAAGGGGAAGGCAAAACAAACAAATCTGCTGCTGGAAGCTGATTTCAACGTTTCATGCCGGAGATCTTGACCTCTGAAGCAAGCCTTGTTAAGGATGTCCACGAAATTCAAAAAACGAATATTTGGTTGCTGCTTTGGAAGATGAAGTCGTCAATTGCTCGCGAATTGGCAACCAAACTTAATGTTTTTCCTGATATAACCTTTCATCCTTGTGGAGCCGTTGAAATGATACCGGAGTGTTTCGAAGAATAAAAAACACTGAGTCGATGTCGTAACGTTATGTACTTCCCATCTTTTTTTGTGGTTTGCAATAAGAAAATTAGTCACAAGCGTATGACCGAAACTCGGAACCTCAGTTGGCTTCGAACTCAGCAATCACCCTTTCCACAGCTTCCATGCTTACAACACACTGACCTAGGTCCTTGCACTACCTTGTTCCTAGCCTCTTTGTATTAATATTTCTTTTTGCGTAACAACGTTCTCTGCTTTAACAAAAAATAGTCACCAAATAGTAAGTTAAACATTGAGATTTCAAGTGCAACTGTATTGTAATTGGATATAATGCCGAATCGTACTTGCTAGACAATTCCCATTGGGTGCTTGCTAACACTGAAATGGTTAAAAGATGTCTGATGAAGACGCGAAGCAAGGAATTGCGCCATGCGGTGAACAGCACGTGGACTCCCGGTAGTGGTAATTGTGGGTTGGAAGTCCATTAAGTTTCGCATGTCCGAGTGACCTTGTGGTTGTATTTTACACTTTGAATGTCATCCCCATGTTATTCTCTAACGGAACGTTCCAAAAATCTGCAGAGATTACAGGTTTTGTAAGGAACAGTATAAAAAAAGATAGTCGACTGGTACCTGAGAAACCCGTATATTTAACGACTCAAATGTTCGAAGACCTGATATTGTCGATATCACAAATTGATGAATGCCGTAGTTTTACTGAACCGCCGTTGATGAAGAAACGGATTGCGGACTTTACTGAGCACTTCACAAGTACCTAATTAATTCATTTACTAACTGCATTTTTAGAATTCTCTACAGGAACGCAATACGCCTACTGAATGCGTAGAATATACGATGCCCACTTGCTTTCGTGTTTTCTCCTATTTCAGTATTACTGAGCGGTGAAGTAGAAGAAAATGATAGTTTTTCGATGAGTCAGTTTTATAGTGACATTCAGACGCTCTTCATGAACTGAACTAAAGGTGAAAGAAAAGAAAGCTAAATTCAATCAATTGCACGGGCATTGAGTGTATAGGATGAACCACTCGGCTTGATTAGTTTTTGAGAGATGCTTTGAATATTCGATTCAATCAAGCATAATCTGCATTATCAGTCATTCCGTTTATCTTAGACTGACTTAAGCTGGCATCGCAAAACTTGAATTTTGTTCTAATACGTCCTCGAATGCGCCAGTGGGTTTTCGTTACTTCAGGGACTCGTTGAGCAGTATATCTTTCTTCTAGGCTTTTCTTAAAGAAATTTAATAAAAAAAGGAACCCTGCCCAACCAACTTTTGACAGCTTGGCATATAGAACGGTGTCTTTAATTTCTGGTCGTTGATGTAAGTCAGAACTTCGCCCACCTCTCACATTTCCCAAACATGCAATACTCTTAGTAGGGACCTTTCAACGACGTGTTCAGAGGCGTCAAGTGATCCTTCTTTGTTAGCGTAGCGATTATGTTTCTAAAGCATAAGTTAAGGCAGGAAGAATTGCTAATCGTTTGGTGTAAAGATAAGCATGGAACCGTGGTTTGAATAAAGCAGTTAAGCCCTAAAGATTATAGAGCATAGTAGACGTAGTTGAGCCCAAATTCTACATGTATACTGAACAGTGGAAATTGCCCGATTTAAACGAATTTTCGATACTTCCAAAAAGGCTAAGAGCCATTTTCCCGTGCCCGGAGGTATGAATGGTTTGATCAGCCAAGGGCGCTGAAATAAGCATAACTCTTGTTCAAAAAGAGAAATCCTACCTATCACGCTAATTTGTCTTTTCGATTTTCATTTGACTGGCACACTGATCTCTTGCTTAGGTAGAATAACATTCCTAGAGTTTTGATATGGCTAAGCTATAAAACTGTCCTCTAAACTTCTAGCAAGCATACAGTTATTTATCTTTGTGAATAGTAACGAGTATAACGACCATGAACAGGACTACCACATATTTAGGCTGGCACCAGAGAAGTAGTAACTTATGGGCGATAGCTTGTCCCTTGCTGGGCTATTGGATGGAAAATAAACCTCGTTATCACCGCGAGTAATCCAACACGAATAGAGAAGAGGGGATGAATTTTTGATATTATGTACTCAGCGCTTTTTTCCACCAGAAAACCAATTGTTCACACTATCAAGCTTTATAGGGCAGAGAGAATACATGAATTTGATATTTTATGGAGAGCTATAAACGTTTTGAACGTCTCTGCTTTGCTTCTACACTCGTATTCCTATCCAAGGAAGTATGACGGAATCAAATGGAACGGATATGAAGATGGCATAATGATTTTAATGAAGCTTGCGAACCATTTTAAAAAGAAAAGAGAAGAAAAGTGAGGAGTAACTGAAAAGTTTCGTTGCAGATTTTTGCATCATTCGGGTGAAAAGACCTGTACTAACATATTTCTTGCAATTTTCTCAAAAATTCCGAGGACGTTGGAATGCTCTTGGGATAGAAAAAAACCTCTTTAATGAGGGAATAAAAATTTGGTGGTCAAATTAGGTGCTTCGATATCCCATTTGTCTTGATATTACGTATATTAGCCTTTCAAAAATGAGACTACGTCCGCCGAAGTGTCGAAGTCATATATGGAAAAAACTAAAAATCCTCGGCCCTCACTCAAAGATAAAAGGTAAAATCTTTGACTTAGTGAAATTCATCAGGTGATGCGTAAGCTTTGAATATGGATTCGGTAAGATTCAGCGATCAATTCGATGATCAAATCCGCGTCGAATCTCGAAGTGGCCTTTTTCGTCCTACTATTTTCGTGCCATTTTAGATTCCATAAAACGTGTGAAACCATTTCTGAACTTTCAAAGGTAATCTTGATCTGAAATTTTCAATGAGGTATAAGCCTAAGGTTCTGGTGGAAATTGCCTTTTCTGTGTGAAGCTACATTTCAGAGATCTTCGCTCATTTGGTAACCGAGTTGTTATTACACATCGGTGTCAACTAATTGCGCCGACACTATTTAAGTTCTAAGGCTTTTTACTTGGTCGACCCCATTCAAAGTGTTGTACACCAAAATTTTCTCCACTTTTTTATAATTCAATTGTACATCAATATAATCGCCAAGGAATTTTGTCTCCTTTAGGCGTGAGCGTCCAGGAGTTGATGTTTTGATTCATGTAGTGCTTCAAGCCTTTGAAAAGATAGGACTTCCTACTGTGAGGCCAGCAAGGGCCTCTGTTCATATTTCTTCGTAATTACAATTTTATGCATGCCACATGGCCATGATTAAGATATATTCAAAGCCTCAGACTTTCCTAGAGCAAGACAAACATTGCCGTGGTCTTTATCAGTTCAATAGCGCTGTTGAAATAGCAGAATACCCTATGGCTCTGTCTAGGGCTGATCTCATCTTGTCCAGTCGTAGTGCTAAACGGCACTTCCGATCATCGTATTCCGTTAAATTCGTCCGTATTTTTTTGCATGACTCAGCAATGACTCATTTTGCTTGACGCAAGTCGCGCTAATGGTGAAGTGAAATGATTCAAGTCCTCAACAGTAATTATGCCTGAGTTTCAAAATTTTACTTCAACGACTATTTCCTGTTAATTCCACTCGTTT